TTCAAATGCAGGTGGCGGCGATCGTGGTCATCTCATGGCTGCTGTTGTGTTGCAATATTTTCGGGGAGGGCTTAGTTTCAGGGGACGGAGGGCTTATTTTAGCACATGAGCTCAAAAGTCCGATTAGGCTAATTATCCAGGGAGGTCTTATTTTCATGGAAACAGGGTAATTAAGAAGTCATCTTCAAAAATGTTTTATTTGCCCAAATATGATATTGTATTTTATATTTTACTGTTGACACACTATTAAATGATATCACTTGCCAGATTCAAAGTTAACATAAATTATTCATGTTGCCTGATTTAATGACCAGCTAGGCAGATTATACTGATAATTTTCATGCTATAGGTAAAAGTAGTTATAGGCATATTTAATAATGAGCGGATTTGTATCTTTAGCCACATGCCATTACATTTATTTATTAAAATTATGTCCCAACTTTATTTTTTACAACTAAAACCATACATAGACCCAGATACTGAAACTTTTCACCTTAGGTTCAGTTCCCTGAACATACACACATAAATTCATATGGGCATTTGATATATCACACTATTCTTTCAGAATTTTTGGAGATTAGACATCAATAATTTTCCTTAAGAAATTATGCATAAAAGTTGATAAAAGCAGAAGTAGTCAGATCAAATCCTGTTTCCTTCTTTAGTGAAATAGTTGTTTGGTCCTGACTGAAAGCCAAGTTTACCAGGAGTCTAACTTTCAGTGACAAAACCATTTTTTAAGCATGTTGAAATATTGTTAGTTTCCTACAATGACTTGTTTTAACATAGTATAAAAATAAATCTAAACTCTTCCTAAAGATTCATAAAAGTTCAACTGTGGCATCATCACCCCATCCTCCAGTCCCAATAGGACTTAGATGTATTCATTACAATTTATGTTCTAAAATTCATTTTAACAGCATTGCTAAAAAAAGCACTAAAACTTGTGAATTTAATTCTACAAAGTTTTTTTTTTCCTAGAAACACTGTACTGCTCACTAGAGCTTACAAAACATACTTTAGGCCAATCGTAGAATATGGTTCAACTGTTTGGAAACCTTACCATGTATCAGATGTTAATACTTCTGAGCAAGTTCAGAAGTACTTTACAAGAAGTCTTGCACTCTTCTGCCCATAATAGAATACCTTAATGCTACTAAGCTTGAAATTCTTNATTTTCTTGCCTATTTTAATTGGTATTCCTAGCCTGTCTTTTTCACTTCTGCTTTTGGTAGGCTTGACTTTTTCCTTTTGTGTGAAACATATGCAAAAAATGAATTAAGGAGCACTGCTTTCTCTTTGCCACCTTTCATTTCCTTGCCACTGTCTTCCATTAGTGGACTGATTGTTTCTTTGACTTTTTTCTTGTTTTTTACATGTTGAAAGAAACTTTTTATAATAAAATTATTTTTGACATTTATTGCAACATTGGTTCATTCTGAGCCTTAGCCTTCTTGACTTCATCTTTGCAGATTTGGGCTATATGCTAGTATTTTGTCTTAGTTATGTGTCCCTCATTCCATTTTTAAATACTTTTTGTCTTTCATTTTATCAGACAATTCTTTATGCAACCATGCTAGTTTCTTTTCCCCCCAAAATGGTATTGTGCTGTACTAGGCTTTTATAATAACCTTTTCAGAGTTTTCCAAACTGATTAAATTCTTTTCTTCTAAGTTTTTCATCCATAGAATCCTTCCCAAGGTCTCTCTAAATCTATTGAAATTAGTTCACTTACTGTGTTTCCCTGAAAACAAGACAGGGTTTTATTTTCTTTTGAACACCAAAATATGGCCTTGTCCTTATTATTGGGGAGGTCTTATTATTTTGGGAGTGCAGGAAGTCCTGGGCGGCCTGCGCACTTACAGCTGGGAGTTTGGGAGTTTGGTAGAGAGAAGCTGGGCAGCCTGCGCACTTACAGCTGGGAGCTTAGTAGAGAGAAGCTCCCTCCCTGGGGTTGACGAGTTCCCGTCCCTGCTCGAACTGTGTGGTTGTGGATTGCTTTTAAATTCTTTTGTAGCTGCTTGCTTGTTGTTTCCCCCCTGTCTATATTCCCTTCCTTTGATTTGTGAGCCGCCCTGAGTCCCTCCGGGAATAGGGCGGCATATAAATGCAATAAATCCAAATCCAAATCCATGTGCTGCCATCAAGTCCCTCCCCTCCTGCAGGGTGTGTGTGTGTGGAATGCGAGTGGGCCAAAGGCACCAAGCCGTGTGAGCACCTGTTTTCCACACACACACACACACACACACCATGCTTGCACACCTCCCAGGCCTCACCATGTCGATGTGTGCTACTTCGGCTGCTTTCCTTGCATGCAGCCAAAGGCAGAAGCAACAGAAGTCTTTCTTTCTCTCCCCAAACTCCTCCTCTGCAGCTGCCAGCCAGGGCAGCAGCCGCTCTATAGTGACAGTCACCAGAGGCCTCCCATTCCTCCCCTACTCCTCTCCGATCGCCCCATGGTCCCCACACACAAGCGCTGACCAACCGGAACGCCCGCTGGCAAGCCCAGGAATCGCCTCTGCCTTGGGAGTCACCAGATGAGACAGAGACCAGGCCAGAAAGTCCCAGGGCTGGGGGGGGGGTAAGAGCAGGTGAGCCAATGCCTTAGCGCAGGAATGGGTGCTCAAGGTTTACTGTTGGTGCTGCGGCAATGGGGGGCGGAAGAGGCGGGAGGCACAGGAGTTCACAGGGATGTGACTGCCTTGGGAGGTTTGGGGGGGGGGTTAGGGACCTGTGTGTGTGAGAGAGGGGGATCTTATTTTCAGGGGAGGGTGTATATTTTTGCCCACCTCATAAATCTGCCATGGCCTTATTTTCAGGACATGTCATATTTTCGGGAAAACATGGTAAAATATAAGACATGAGTTTTACTTGGTTCTATTGCTTCTGTCTTCATTATATTGAATGTAATGTGAAATGGTCACTCTCCCCCAAAGTTCCTGCAACTTCACCCCCCTCTATCATTTCATTTCTGTTAGTAAGAATTATGTCTCTCTAGTTCTCTCTACTACATTTTGGGAGACCAAGTTGTTTGCTAGGTTAGTCAGGAACCTGTTTGATATCCCAGTTGCTGCAAAGTTTGTCTCCCAGTAGATGTCAGTGTAAATAAAATCCCCCATTATTACAGTGCTGTGTTTCCTACGTACTTTAGCTAACTGATTAGCAAAACATTCATCACATATACTGTATATGTGTGTGCATGTGCACTATGCAAACACATGCACTTGTGTTAAAAGTGCTGCAGCTGCCAAAAAAGCCAATCCAATCCTAGACTGCATCTACAGACAAATAATATAAAGATCATGAGAAATGATAGTACCAGGGGTTGGATTCTACCTGTTCGCATCTATTCACTAGAACTTGTAGTTAACTTTCTAAGCAGTTCAAAGAATTGGTGGTTGGAAGAAATCTCCTTTTGTTTTTTTCCACTTTACAGGGCTAATCCTGTAAAGACGGCAAGAAGGAAACATTCTGGTGTTGTTTCTAGCCTAATCTTTATTGCCCTGCTTACAGAAACCGCCTCTCCTAAACCTTATTACATTCTTGGCAGTATGCTAGACTTACTGTTGCCTCCAGAGCTTCTCCGGGTTTTTTTCTTTTCTTTGCTGGTACTTTGCTGGTACTTTGCTGGGGCTTGACTTTCTTAAAGGGGAAAGTGTTTTAAGCTTTTTACATTGCTTTTGGGAGGAAATGCTCCTCTGTTGGAGTTCTTTCCAGCCGGGATGCAATGATCAGCACTTTGAAGAAATAATTGAATAACGAAGCAGAGCTGCCGGAAAGAAGCTTTTAATGACAAGGAACCAAGATGAGTGACATTTAGCAAGTCTTCTTGGCTAGCTAGAAAGACTGACATTCAAACGTGAGTTTACATACCCTTTCTGAGTTTTGGTCTAAAGCTGGTTTTTGGTGAAGTTTAATTCTATGCTTGGTGACATTTATTCCTGTGTTTATTGATGGGATAATTTTGTCTATTCAGCTTTGTTTGGAAGGAAAAAAGTTAGTCTCTGTCCCTGAAAAGAAACTGGGTTGAGAAATCTGGCCAGTTCCTGTATCTATTTGTTCTGGTAATTGGTTTAACAAGCAACAGCTACTATGCTTACTCTTTTGCTACATTCTAGCCCTAGTTGTTTTCTTTGTTTACAATTGAGCTTGCCTGGGGTGTGAGCTCTGGCAATGACCCAGACAAGGCTTGTGTTTTAGTTTTAAAAGGATTTAAACTGTTGTGATTTAATTATTTGTATTGCGTTTGAATTTTTTCCTGCCTCATGGTTTCTTTTTCTATCTGGGGAGGGAGTTTTCCTTCACTGCTTTAGTGGTTCCTGGCACTGTCCTTTTGGGGTATACTTCCAAGAGGCAGGATGCAAGCTTGGCACTGATATTTTTACTGCCTTTCTTGTGATCGTTCCTTAAATCTGGATAATTTCCTTAGGATATCTTGTGTGGTGAGTGAGACCAGATAGTATCTTTAAGTGGTGCAAATGGATCTAAGTATTGCTTCTCCTGGGTGTACTCTTTCTGGAGAGCTTAAATGACCTCTCTGCTAAAGGGTTTCACTTTATGAGTTGGCTGCTGATAGTTATCATTGCATTTTAACTATTTTAATTCCTCAAGGTNGTCTGTATTCCCTTCCTTTGATTTGTGAGCCGCCCTGAGTCCCTCCGGGAATAGGGCGGCATATAAATGCAATAAATCCCAATCCAAATCATGCCCAGCGCAAGTCAGGCGTTTGCGCAAACAGAATGTGCGAGCGCGTGATCAGCCTCCCAGTAGTGACAGTAAGAGCAACCCCTCCCTGTCCCAAAGTGATGTGAACTGGCTGAATGTCACTACTGGCTCCATCCTGCTCCGGATTCCCCAGGCCCACTGGCAGAACCACATCTTCAGGGCCTTCCGAAAGAGCGTTAGTGCACCCATTTCAGGTTTCCATCTTCCTTGGATGGGTTAGGGGAAGGCTCTTCCAGAAGTAACAAAAAAATTACAACGTTTCTCCCCTTTCCCAGGTTTGGCATGAACCATGATGGTGTTGGAAATAGCTGTGGAGCCCGGGGACGGGAGACGGCGAAACTCATGGCAGCTCATATTACTATGAAGACCAACCCCTTTGTGTGGTCAGCATGCAGTAGAGATTATATAACCAGCTTCCTGGAGTAAGACTTGACACACTTCGTTATCGAATATTCCTCATCCCCTAAAACTGGGGTTTTTTTCTCCCAAATCCTTGTTATTCATAACCTGTGTGCCCTCTTTCCTCTACACCTAGCTCTGGAATGGGACTCTGCCTGAATAACGCTCCACCCAAACAAGACTTCATCTACCCGACAGTGGCTCCAGGACAAGCCTATGATGCAGACGAGCAGTGCCGGCTTCAGTACGGAACAAAATCTCGCCAGTGTAAATATGGGGTAGAGAAGCCTTCCTGCTTTTCCTCTTGATTCCCAAGGGGTTGGAAGGAAGGAGTTTTAGTTAGGCGAGAACATTGGAAGGTAGTCCTCGGCTTACGACCAGTCACTTAGTGTCCCTTTGAAGTGATGACGAATCCTAATAAAGCTACTTATGATTCCAAGTTCTGACATCCAGCTCCCTCCCTCTGGGGCCATGTGACCATATTTTTGATGCTTGGAAACTGGCTCACATATGGGGCTGTGTCAGGGTTCCAATACACCCATAGCAAACAGAACTCTAAGGCAAGTAGGTTCCTTAAAGAACAAGTTTATTGGACATATCATATTGGCATAGACTGGTGAAAACCGACTCTAACGGTTACCATGGTTTTCACCTAATTAAAGGTAAAATCCCCCCCCTTCCCAAACAATCAGTCACATGGTCCAATCAAGGTGCTGCCCAGTTGCTTGGAAACTTCACTCCTCCTCTCTTCAGCCACCTGTGGGAATGTCCTTGGTTCTCAGGGGAAACTATTGTGTTTTGGCTACAAAATCCCAGCTATCTCTATTCCCCACTGCCTATCCCTCAGCATCATTGAGGCAACACTGAAGCCTCCAAGATGGCCTCAGTCAGGCCAGCTTCAGAGTTGACAGGCTGTTTGTAGCATCCCGTGATGACATGACCCAAAATTTAAGGTGTTTTTTTCCTGAAAACCAGTGTGCACTTCTGGTTTCCAGCAAAAAACTGCCCATAAGGAACAATAGATTCACTTAACAAGCACCACAACAGAGGTTTTAAAATCAGCTGCTATCACCCACTGTACTACTGTGACAGTTTTTGCATCAATCACAGTGGTTGGCAGCAGCTTTTCATAGCTATTAGCTATATCTAACTTCTCCTGTATTTTTGGTTATTTCTGGTCAATCTTAGTAATGTGCTTTTATGCCTATCAGGCTGACAGCTTACAAGGAATCAGAGAAGATGGTGCATTCCTTGAAGCCAAAACATAATGTTCCTTGTAGTGATTTCTATGTCCCCCAATGAAGAGCAAATCTGCAAATGGATTTCTTTTTGTATCTGTAGGAGAAAAACACACAGAGACACTCAGTTAGTGTTGTGGCCCACCAGCAAATTCGAACAGTGAGGAGGTTGGGGAGGAACATGGGCCAGTCTTGTAGTCTGGGGAAGGCTCAGACGAGGGCTCTGTGTCGGAGGCAGAGAGGGGGCCAGAGCCATGTGCCAGTTATCATCTGCCTTCAGAGTCAGACATCAGTGAGGCAGACGAACAGTTGGAGCCTGTTCCTAGTGTGCGCATGCACAGAGTTGCCAGATGAAAGGAACAACTAAACAGGGGTGTACTTGGGAGTAGGGCCACAGGTGGATGATGAATGGCCCCTCCCCGAGGAAATAAAAGAGGAGCGAAAGGGAAGTGGAGTTTGCAGGAGACAATTAGTTTGCTTAATTGGTTCTTGCCAAGTTTTACAGATATCAGCCTGGCGGCTCTCCAAGCCAGATAAGGTCTGTGACTGGAAATCCTCCCTTGAAAGTCTTTGCTGGATGTGGATGAGCAGACTTCACAGTAAATTAATAAAAGGGGTTTTTGTCGGGACCAGGAGTTTCCTTCATGCTCATGGGAAGGCTAGGTCAGAACAGTTACATTGCTGTAAAATCATAGAATCATAAATCCTAGACTGGGAAGAGACTTTGGAGATGTTCTAGTCCAATCCCCTGCCCAGGGGAGGAATATTTAGAGCATCCCAAATAGAAGGCTGACTAACCTTGGCTTGAAAACCTCTAGTGGTGGAGCCACTATTTCGGAAGGCAGTTGTCCCACTGCTTAATAGTTCTCATAGACTCCTTGTTTCAATTTGGCTCTCCAACTACAAAGCTTCTCTATCTGGTGATTCTTGTCTGACTTCAGGTATAGGTAGTCTTGTTTAGTCTATCCCCGTTAGGAGACTAGAGTTGTGCAGCAGAAGTTAGTAACGGATAAATCCCTGAATAGTCGCTCACAGCCACCGAAGGCAAAACAAAGAATATCTTTACTTGTGCAACAAAAATAGAATAGATAGTCTTCAAAATCAGACTATAAGCAGCCTTGTAGTGTGACCCGACAAATGCGCGCCTAACAACAGCGCGCCGACAAAACCACGGCGATAAAACCGCACCGTTGACAGCGCGTCCACAAAGGCGCGCCGACAAAAGAGCACCAACAGAAGCGCAATTAGGGTTAAGGTAAGGGTTAGGGTAAGGGTTGGGGTTAGGGTTAGGGTTAGGTTTAGAGCACGCTGTTGTCGGTGCGCTTCTGCGTTCATTCGTTGGCGCAATTTTGAACTCGCGGTTTTCTCGCCGCAGTTTCGTCGGCACGCTTTTGTCGAGCGCGCATTTGTCGGTGAACCGTCTTGTAGTATATAAACAGTCTATTTACAACACGTTAAATTTACAGTTGCTCAACTCACGATTCACCGTGTAGACAGGTAACTAACATACAGACTAGCCACCATCCAATACACGGTCTTCTCTCCAATTACACATACAGTAACAGTCAGTAACTATCAGGAACAACAGTAGAACCAGTAGAATCAGTAAACTCAGGAAACATCAGAAGCATCAGGGAGCATCAGGGAGAACTCCATACTAGTTCCTACTTCCTTATATGGCTGCTTAAAGCAATAGCATCCAATTACCTCTCTCTTACATTTAAAGTAACAGATACATTTGTTACAATCATGGCTTAT